TGAAACAGACTCCAAACATCATATCATTTCATCAGTAAATATTTTAGCATGTATCTTTAAGGATAAAAACTATTTTCACATTAACACAATATCATTTTTTCCCCAACATTTAACATCATTTCTCAATATTAGAGGAAATTCAGTCAGTGTTCAAATGTTTGTTAAGGATCATGATTTTTAAAAATTTAGTCAGAATTCAAGCAAGGTGTATACATTGAGAATGGGGGTATATTCTGTGTACAGACATCCTTCTATCATTTCTCATATTTTTCATATATATGCATATATGTGTGTGTGTATACATATTTCTCAGTTCATATATATTTCCCCCCTGGCAAATTCTTTGTTGAAGGGAGCAGGTTGTTTGTCCTGTAGAGTTTCCCACAGTCTGGATGTTGATGATTGCATCTTCGTGTTGTTGGTGGTAAAATGATTAACATTTCTCTAGTCTCTGAGTTTCCTGTAAAATGAGAGACTTGAATCTAGAGGCTTGATCAGGTTTGTTAGATTTTTTTGGCAAGACCACTTTAGAGATGTTGCTGGTTTTTCCCCCCAGGTATCACCTTCTCTTTCTTTTTTTTTTTTAAAGATTTATTTTATTTATTAATGCATACAAGAGCTGGGGTATAGGCCAGAGGTGTGGGGGGTAGGGGAGTGGGGCGGTGGGTGAGAGGATTCACCAGAGACAGAGCAGAGAACAAAACAGGCAGACCAATGAAATACACTGCTGAGGGGAGCAGTGAGCAAGACAGGAGAGGTCTGCTGCACCATGTGGGTAGCTCCCTGGCCAGGGATCAAACTCGTGCTGCAGCAGCTGCCTATAGCTTGATAGTGCTGAGACTTAACCCCTTGCTTCTCTAGAAGGGTCCAGGAATCTCCTAATGTCTGCTTTCATTTCTTCTTGTATGGTGGTGAGGAAAACCTAGTCCATTATTACATTAGGGATTATAAAATGTTTCATTTCTGTTCTCGCCTTATTCACTTAACTCTAATACCTCTATGAAGAGGAACTTTCCCACAATTTATATCTTGTTTCTTGGTGAGACACTTGATACAGGAAAGGCAACATAAGGCTTATTTTTTACCTTTATTAACTTTCAAAATAACGAAAGGATCCTCTAGCATCTTCCTAAAGAGACCCCAATCAGGGCAGGGGTAGGGGTGCTGTGAGTCATGTATTTATTTATTTGATGTGTTTTAATCCATTGAAGTTATCCTCTCTAATGATCAAGTTATCTGTTATTGGTCAATGAAAGCCCCTTTGGGGGACTCCCTGGCAGCGCAGGCTATTGAGCGCTGCACTGTGGAGCTGTTTGCAGCCTCTGCAGCTCAGGTTCAATCCCGGCCAAGCGGCAAGAATCCCACATGGCTCAGCAGACCTCTCCTGTCTTGCCCACTGCTCCCCTCAGCAGTGTGTTTCGTCAGTCTGCCTGTTCTGTTCCCCACTCTGTCTCTGGTGAATCCTCTCACCCTCGCATCTATGGCCTGTACCCCGGTTCTTGTATAAATAAATAAATCTTAAAAAAAAAAAAGAAAAACCCCTTTGGGTTGGTTCCTGAATCCTTTCGATGCCTAATCCTCACTATCTGTGTGACAAGATGTTCAGGTTTATTTTGTATATTTCCTTTCCAGAACTTGAATCAGTATTTCCCTTAGAAACCTTAATCCCTTCTAATGGAAAAGGAATTGAAGTGGGTATGTATCATTTGGGGTCACACAATCAAAGAGCCAGGTAGTAGTTGTTGAAATAGGATCACCTCAGTGAACAAGCTGCACTAAAGTTGGCGAGAACTCAAAATTTGATTGGAACCATTCACACCAACCTCCTCTCAAGCTGTTGATCTAAGAAAAGGATGCTATTATCTCCCAAGTAAAGTGTGGGGCCAACCTGATGGCTTTGTTTCATTCAATCCAAGTAAATAAAAAAAGAAAAATGGAATCCATGAAAAGATGCTCCTGAATAAGAGAAAGGACAAATCCCTTTCTTTCTAAAGAGAAAGACAAATTGTTAAAAATGCAGACTAGTGCTGGATACAGGAGAGAAAAAACACAGGGAAGTTGTTTGGTATTTTTGATAGAAGAAGAGATGTCTTTCATAAAACATAAGCAGGCAGGCATGTTTGAAAACAAGCTGAGAAGACAAAGAACAAAATAAATTGATTAATGGATGAGAAAGAATTCTAAGGAAAAAATTAAAAACACAAGAGCAAAAATACAGACTACATAAATGCCTATATACTGCTGTTGCTTTCATGTAACAATACATGAGAAACATATTTGTATATGTCATTAAATATATTTTACCTTTATTCTTTTTTTAAATTTAAAAAAAAATTTTTTTTTATTTATACAAGAACTGGGGTACAGGCCAGAGGCATGGGAGGGTGAGAGGACTCACCAGAGACAGAGAACAGAACAAGCAGATGGACCAAAATACACTGCTGAGGGGAGCAGCGGGCGAGACAGGAGAGGTCTGTCGCACCATGTGGGTAGCTCCCTGGCTGGCTGGGAATCGAACCCGCACTGCAGAGGCTGCAGACAGCTTCACAGTGCTGCGCTTAACCTGCTGCACCACCAGGGAGGCCCTTACTTTTATTCTTAATAACTAGACTGTGGGGTAATTCTACAGATGAAGAGTCACAATCATTGACCTTATTCCCTCATATTAGAAAATTAAGCATCTTCCAAATTTTTCTGCCATTACAAGCAATATGAAGAGGACAGATCCTTAGACATCTGCCCACATATTCAATGTATTAGGCACATAAGATAAACACAGTTCCTATCTTTTTGGCCCTTGCAGTCCAACAGGGACATGGTACAATTAAGTTAAGAAATTCCAACACATTTGCAATAAGCGGTAGAATTGTTTGGTGATAAGAAAGCACATATCCAGGAAGTGTAACCTACTTTAGGTTTTCCTGAGAAAGTGACATTTAGTTCGAGATCTGAAGAACGAGAGGAGGTAAGCTAAGAAAAGAATTGCAAATCATATTTTAGGAAGAGAGAAGGCCTGAGTGTGAGAAGAGCAGGGCAGACTGCAAAGAAATCCAGCGGCAGGACATGCAGAGCCTGGTCACTGAAAGCCATGAAGCATGGGAGTGTCATGATTGCATTTTTTTTGCTACTGAAGAAGCACTCTGGAGTACAGTGGACACTGGATTGCAGCGTGGTGTCACTAAAGACAGGGAGGCCATTCAGCCCGCTGTTCATCAGGCCAGGCAGTCGAGGGAGGTGGACGAGAACAGAGTGTGGCAGTGAGGACACGAAGAAACAAATGGACCTGGAAAATATTTAGGAGAGGCTGATTCATTTGATGTGGGTACTAAGGGAGAGGGCAGTCAAAACTGGCTCCAGGTTGCTGACATTGGTAACCAGGTGGTGCCACCTACTAAGGAGAGGAGAAAGAAATGGGAGAAGTTATGCGTGCAGGTGGGTAATGCCGAGTTTACGGTTCCAACAAATGAAAATATCCAGTATCCAGCTGTATCTCCAGACCTGGAGCCTGGAATCTCTCCTGAGATCTGGATTGGAATTCTAAATTTGGGCTCCACCAGCTTGCAGGTTGTAACCAAAGCTTTGGGAGTGGCTGAGATCTTGCTGAAAGAATACATGAAGGGAGAAGGGAAAACCAGCCCGGGCAGACCCCCGAGGAGCAGGGCCAACACGGAGGGGATGTGCAAAGGGAAAAGACTGAGAAAGAGTCGCTAGGGAGGTAGAAATTCACCAGGGAAAAAAATGCAACTTTTGGAAACTGGGAAAGACCTTGTGTGAAGAGGAAAGACATGGCAAACAGCATCAAATATTTCCAAGAGATTAAGAAAGACACGGGCTGAAAAGACAAAGACACGGGCTGAAAAGACACCCTTGGGTTTAGTGACCAATTCTGTGACGTGACAACCGCACTGGCAGTGGTAAGCTGGGCTCCATGACCAGATTTTACAGTCAAGCATTTGCTGAAGGTGAAGAAGTAGTCGCTCGCTCATGTGTTTTGACCCAAATTGAGAATCACTCTCTTACTGAAGGAAGTGAACGGTCTACCCTCATTTCCTAATGGTTTTATTGGGTTTGCTTCTTTTGTTTTGTTTCATGATTTCTGGTTTTAATGTTTCCTTGCTCTTTCTTTTTCTTTCTTTTTCTTTTTCTTTTTTTTTTTTTGCTAAGTGAACTATTGTGTTCACCATCGCCAAAGTGCACTGGAGGGTTAACAGTCTGCCTTGAAATGACTCAGTAGTGAAACCAGAATTTGAACCTAGGCCATCCAGAGGTTGAAGCCTCAGCCACTGTCCTTTACTGCATTTCTTGTGACCCAAAGCATCCTAACAGATAAACTAAGCTACCCTTGAAAATAGTTACACCATATAGTTCTTTCCCTACAAGTAAAAATAATTTTACTTTTAGAAATCTTTCAGATAACTAACCAGAGAATTATGCGCATAAGTATAAACAGCAGAATTATTTATAATAGCCAAACAATGTGAATTTGCATAGGTTTTCTCTTAAAAAAATAATACCCATCAGCTGTTCCTCTCTAGTGCTTTACTTGTCTTTTAGTCTGTGTTCTCTTTGGTCTTGTCTCTGAATTTGGTTGTAAATTGATCACATCCTTTTAAAAGCTGCTTGAAAAAATATTTACATTAAAATATGTGCCTTGCTTGCTTCCTGAGTTGGCTGGCTGTTTACAAGACTTGACATAAAGGGATGGAACAGTTCAGAGCTCTTCTGAAGGAGGCAGAAGGGGTAGGCATTTTCTGGCACCAGAGGTGAACATATCACAAGACCTAAGAAGCTGGGTTCTGAGATCTCTGGCACTTAAGCAGAAAGAAAGTCAAGTTACATAATTTTCATTGTCCAAAAAAGACAAAGAAGTCTAATTGTTCTATGGAAGCCATTTTTTTTTTTTCTGGGCTCTAACATCAAGCAGGAATTTATTATATGAATCCTCACTTAAAGGGTATTGAGGGACACCAAAGACTATCTTTAAACAGTTCACAAAGAAACCCTGTTAAACCCACTCACCTAGATGGCTGTGGCCTTGCTCTAAAAGTGAGACAGCCGCTCCTGACCTAGGGAAGTTTTCATGCACGAGGTAGCCTCAGGGTATTTTGTCTTCTGGTCATATTTTTGTCTTCCTCTCATCTGTGGAGCTCGACAGCCGCAAGGGACTTTCAGATCACATGCTGCTTCAGCTTTGCCATGGAAGCCCCCTCACGTGAACACCAGCTGGGGGTGGGTAAGAAGAGGTTGTAGCCCAAAAAGGCCAGCTGTAAGCTAAAATTTCTTTGAAGATTTGCAATTTATATTTAAAATCCATGTGAATTTTACAGTCTGTTTCGTAATGTGTTATAGATAAAAATGTGTTTCTCCCTTAAAACTAACAAAATTGGTGCTCCAGGAAGATGGGCTATATTTATCCTATTTGAGTATCCGTTGGCAAGCTGCCTTGGGTCTCTCCACTCCCACAGATGCACCATTATTTTAATTTGATGTTGGACCAGTATTCCCAGATCTAGATTAGTAAACGGCTTCTTTCCAAAATTAGATGTCTTGGAACAGAAAATCATCTATTCTTCTAACATATAGAGAAGACATCTACATACACCCTGGTTGATAGGTATTTTTTCTAATGACGTTACCTTGTGAACATTTATGAATTGGACTTCCTGTACAGCAGGCAGAGAAAGTCCCTGTTCTGCACAGGTATAAACATTAAGAGTAACCACATTAGGCAAAAGCCACTACTATTTCTCAAGAGGGATCTTTTCAGCTCTAGCTTAATTCATGATTGATCATAACCTACCTGAAGTCACGGGGAGTGCATCCCTGGGTGGCAGGGGTGATCTCACTGGCTTCAAAGCTCTAATGACAGGTTTGAAGTCTTCATTTGGCACAGGCTCTCTGCAAGAGCAAGCAGCTCTAAGAACTTCGCCTATTGACATATTTATCCTGTAAGTTCAGTCCTATTCAGTTGGCCCTTTCTCTGGCTAGGAACTCCTGGGTCTTAAAAGTGTAGGACTGGCTAATGCAGCTTTGGAAGCGGGAGGGAATTGTATGAATCCTCTGGTTGGACTGAGGCTGGGTTGCTCCATAATATGCATTTCCAGAAAGAAAAAAGGCCCAGGATCATTTGAGAAACAACGTATTCTCCTGAAATTGGAGGTTGTTACCTCTATGAGTCAAAATCTTCCAGTGTGGGTTATGGGTAGGTCCACAGGCATCTGGAAATCTCCATCTAACAAGGAAGGAAATACTTCATTATAGGGAAGAATTTAAAGCAGGTGCTGGCCACTTCTTCTACAGAAGAACCTCTGTGGAATAGAACATAGTTCTTTTAAGAAAAGCTTCCTCTCAGTGATCATCAAAATGAGTTAAACTACAAATTATACTCCTGAGAGCTGAAAGATTGAGCTGTTTGAATCCATTTTTTGAAAAGATTTATTTATGCATACAAGAACAAGGGTACAAGCCAGAGTTGTGGAGGGTGAGAGGATTCACCAGAGACAGAGTGGGGAACAGAACAGGCAGACTGACTGAAATACACTGCTGAGGGGAGCAGTGGGCGAGTCAGGAGAGGTCTGCTGCGCCATGTGGGTCAGTTTTCTGGCCAGCTGTAGTGGCTGCTGATAGCTTCATAGTGTTGAGACTTAACCCCTTGCACCACCAGGGAGGCCCATTTGATACCATTTTTAAAGACTCGCGTCAGCGAAGCAATCTGTAGCTACTGCAGCACGAATTTGATCCCCAGCCAGGGAGGTGACACACATGGCACAGCAGACCTCTCCTGTCTCTCCCGCTGCTCCCCTCAGCAGTGCATTTCAGTCAGTCTGCCTGTTCTGTTCCCCGTGCTGTGTCTCGTGAATCCTCTCACCCTTTACACCTCTGGCCTGCACCCCAGCTCTGATGTGCATGAATAAATAAATCTAAAAAAAACCTCACATACTGGCAAACCCAATACTTAAGACTACATGGGGCAGCCAGTGGGCAGCAGAGCAAGAGGTAAGACATGGGTATTGGCTCCTTCAGAACCCTCCATGCAGAGCTATTGTACAGCAATGACTGCCTTTCTCTACAGAAGCCCACAGTGCCATATGGTAGCCCTCCCGTACAGCTACAGCTCTTGCCAAATTTTGGTGACTATTCCCTCCCCTGTTCCTTCTGGCTTGGGGGCTGGTAGGGTGGGCTGCTGGCCTAAGAGGTTTCACTATCCTTTACTGATTTCTGCCAAGGCTGTCACACCTTTGTTAATTGTCTCTTCATTAAACTTTCCACAACTCTTTTTGCCTCTGTCATCTTTTCCTTGCCGAGACACTGACCCAGAAATGGTCCTCATTCCAGAGCCAGGCTGATAAAGCTGCCATCAGCTGGAACCTCACTAGAAAAAGAGCACAGTGGATTGCAACTTTGTTCCTGAGACTTCTTCCTGGAAATGGCACGACACTTTTGTTCATTCTTCACAGACCAAAGTGAGTCACAAGGGGTATTAGCAATAGTTACCCACTGCTGTATAACATACTTAAAAACAATAAATATGAGGATCAGGGATTTGGGAGCAGCTTAGATGGTTAGTTCTGACCCACAAGGCTGCAGGCAAGATGCCAGGGCTGTAGGCAACTGGAGGCTAAACAGGGGCTGGCATCTGCCTCCAAGGCAGCTCACTCCAAGCACGACAACTTAGGCCTGGTTGTAGGCAGATCTTGGTTCCTTGTCACATACATAGACCTCTCTAAAGTGCTGTTTGAGTATCCTCATGACATAGCAACTGGCTTCTCCTGGAATGAGCAAGTCAAGAAAGATCCCAAAAAAGGCCTCCCTGGCTATCAAGCTATCTCCAGCCACTGCAGCATGAGTTCAAACCCCGGTTGGCCAGGGAGCAACCCACATGGTGTGGCAGACCTCTCCTGACTTGCCCACTGCTCCCCTCAGTAGAGCATTTCAGTACATCTGCCTGTTCTGCTCCCCACTCTCTGGTGAATCCTCTCACCCCCCCACCCCTCTGGCTTATATCCCAGTTCTGGTATGCATAAATAAATCAATCTTTTGAGAAAGAGAGAGAGAGATCCAAGAAAGAAACCACAAATCTTTTAGGACCTAGCCTCAGACACCATCGCTTCCACCATATTCTACTTATTTAAGTGAGTTGTTAACTCCAGCCCAGATCCCAGATCCACCTCCTGAAGGGAGGAGCACAAAGGACATGTGCATATTTTTAAACTACCATACAAACATCTTACTTACGTGACCTAGAGTTGAAGCATAAGCATGTGGTGAAAAGGACTAATGACTGGAAGAATCCTAGATTTTATTGGTGACTTAAGAGTTAAACAAAATCTGGATACAAGTGTCACTGCTGTGTTTGATTTCTGAATCTGCTATATTAATCTTAGGGTTATGGTGTTGAAAGGAGTGGGGCAGCATAACATCTGGACTTCCTTGAAAGGACAGGTCATTTCAAGGCTACTCCCATCTGGGAAGAAGAGTCTTCATTTAAGATTATGAATTATTAAAAGAGGCCCAAGGCAGGCAGGGTGGGAAACCCAGGTCTCAGTGTCCTGACCTTGGATGTCCCTGGTAGAGGGGGCCAGGGTGGGGTTCACCCTGTGGAGCTGGAAGGCATGGGGCCTCTGGAGAGGGTCCCAAAGTAAGCCCTCCTTGGATGCCAGGTTGCCACTCCCATAGTAATCTGTGTTCACTGCTCATTTGCACATCCTAAGCTTCTGGTAAAACCTGTTTCAGTACGCTAGGCTAGGGCCAATCATGACAGAAAGGTAATATATCCACACTTGGGTCAGGGCATCAAGGGGAAACAATGAATCAGGGGTAGCTGAAGAGAGATTCCTGGGAAAAGGTTAGCCTCTAGCTGCAGGCCAGTGCCACATGGTCCAATCCTACCTCCCCCTCCCAAAGATCCTGCTCTCATGACTAGACAGAAATTCTGGTTAATTTTATTAATGTATCTAGCCTTTCCTTACTCCCAACTCTCTCCAATCTGTTTGACACCACAACCACAGCTGTCAACACAGCAGCCCCGGAATCTAGACAATGTTAAGATGTTGGTCTGTGGGACATCCCTGGTGGCCTGGGGTTAAGTCTCAGTGCTATCACCACGAAGGCCCACTGTGGCAGCCTGAATTCTATCCCCAGCCAGGGAGCTGACCCACAAGGCCTCTGTCTTACCCACTGCTCCCCTCAGCAATGTATTTCAGTAGATTTGCATATTCTGCTCCCCACTCTATCTCTGGTGAATCCTCTCATCCCCTGTCCCCTGCACTTCTGGCCTACACCCCAGTTCTATGCAAAAATAAAATCTTAAAAAAAAAAGATGTTGGGCCTCCCCTGGTGGTGCAGTGGTTGAGTGCTGGCTTGCGAGGCTGCCCGCAGCCTCTGCAGCCTCCGCAGTGCCAGTTCAATTCCCGGCCGCCGGGCGAGGGTCCCACATGGTGCGCAGACATCTTCTGCTGCCCACTGCTCCCCTCAGCAGTGTACTTTGTTAGTCTGCCTGCTCTGCTCCCCGCTCTGGCTCTGGTGAATTCTCTCACCCTCCCGCGCCTCTGACTGTACCCAGTGCTTGCACAAATAAATAACTCTTTAAAAAAAACAAAAAGATGTTGGCCTGTGGGTACAGATGCTCAGTGACATGCTGTGAGCAAAGTGCAGTCATTTCCAGATGCAAGATCTGAGACAGACAGAGAAGGAAGAGACCTCTAGGCCAGGCTGAGCAGTCCAGAAGGGTTGAGGATAGTGTTGCTATCTGATGGTGCTGGGGTGCTTTGGGGAAATGAAAACCCTTTCCACCTGTGAATCCTTCCCCAGGATCCCAGTGAATTTTCTGGCAAGTCTCTCTCCCTAGCACAGAAACAAACAACCTGCACAATGCATAGTGCCAGGCCTGCTCCATGCCATGGCCTTCGGACCGGGGTCATGGAAGTGTTCCAGCAAGGAGGCGAAGCAGACCTGGTTCCAGGATGTGCTGTGTGCTGTTAACTGATGGTGGCTAAATAAACTTTTAAAACTGTATCTTTTGAAGAGACATTAACCAAAACAGAGAGACACCCCACTGACTGGGAAAAAAATCTTTGCACTCCAGACAACTGATAAGGGACTGATCACAAAGATATACAAAGAGCTCACACAACTCAACAAAAACAAAATAAACAATCCAGTCAAGAAATGGGCAGAAGAACTTAAAAGACATTTCTCCAAAGAGGGAATGCAAATGGCCAACAGGCATATGAAAAAATGTTCAGCATCCCTTATCATCAGGGAAATGTGAATCAAAACCACATTGAGATACCACCTTACACCAGTGAGAATGGCACATATCAAAAAAAACAAGCAACAACAAATGTTGGCGAGGATGTGGTGAAAAAGGAACTCTCCTGCATTGCTGGTGGGAGTGCAAACTGGTCCAACCAGTGTGGAAAGCTGTCTGGAGGCTCCTCAGTCTACTTAAAATGGAGCTACCATACAACCCAGCAATTCCACTCCTAGGGACACAAAAACCATGATTCAAAAGAACACCTGTACCCCTATGTTTATAGCAGCACTATTTACAATAGGTAAAACCTGGAAACAACCCAAATGCCCAAAAATAGATGACTGGACCAAGAAGATGTGGCATATATCCACAATGGAATATTATTCAGCAATCAAAAAAGATAAACTCATGCCATTTGCAGCAACGTGGATGGAGCTAGAAAGAATTATGCTCAGTGAAATAAGCCAGAAGGAAAAAGAAAAATATCGGATGGTTTCACTTATTGCAGGAATATAGGGGAACCAAGTAAGACATCAGTGTAAAAAATAATAACAGTACAAAGCACAACAAAGCAAAAACAGACAATTACAAATCAGAGACATCCTGCAGGGGAGGAGGCGGGAGAGGGATCAGAGGGAAGGAGGGAGGAGCGCAGGGGACTGAGGTGCTGGTGCACTGGTGCATTGGGGAAGGAAACTCTGTGGGGACTACACCTGAGGGAGTGGGGGAAGCAAACATTGTTTAAAAATGAACAACAATATAAAAAAACTTAAAAATTAAAAAAAGTTATTAAAAGAATAAATAAATAAAATCAAAGGAAAGACAAACACAATGGCAAATACAAATGCTAACATATCAATATTAACTCTAAATGTAAATGGACAAACTCTTCAATAAAAAGACACAGAGTTGCAGCCTGGATTAAGAAACAAAACCCAACCTTTTGCTGTCTCCAGGAAACACATT